ATTTTAAATTTTTCTTTTTTTAAAGATGACCGGTAAGGGGATCTCAACCCTTAGCTTGGTGTCGTCAGCACCACGCTCAGCCAGTGAGCCAACAGGCCATCCCTATGTAGGATCCGAACCCATGGCCTTGGTGTTATCAGCACTGCACTCTCCCGAGTGAGCCACGGGGCCGGCCCTAATTTTAAATTTAGAATAAGATGACAAAGCAAAGTAGTTTCATTCTTGAGTGCTTTTTGTGAAGGCTGTCAGGTACCAGAGCAACTATAATGCTTTTTTTTTTTTTCAATTTTTGCTACAATTCCTAACCTTTCTTTTTACGCTCTACTCTTCAACTGTGTCCTTCCTTTTCCTTTTTCTATTTTGTAGGTGTTTTCTTTTTCCATGTTGTTTTTGGATTGTTTCCTCTCATAGATTCTTTTTCAAATTCTGTCCCTTAAAACATGAAATATTTTTGTGTTTTTTTTTTTCAGTTAAGCACCCAAAAGACAGTTAAATCTTATTCTTGAATGGATATAGGCCTTCAGAACAAAAAGACCACTTGCTCACTGCAGTTCATGTTTTACTGTGCCATTGCTGTTTCTTATCTGCCCTGTTCTCATTCTGACAGACTTACCCTTGAGCTTACTGTGTCAGGACAACAATGGAAAGAAGACCCCAAACCAGGGTGAATGCTGCAATGGGGGGAGCTGAGGAGGTGGCCCTGAGAAAGCAGGAGAGTAAACTGTCAGGTTGATGTAATAATGGCAATAAGGGGGTTATTCACATCCAGTTTGACCGTAGTTAGTGGTCTCATCCCCATCCATGGTATAGTTTTAGCTTAGATGACCACTTGAGCATAATCAGTATGATGCCAGAGTTTTTATTGAGCATTTACTCCAGTCAAAACACTCCCAATGCAACAGAATATACAAATAAACCCCTGCCCGTGAAAATGTTTGGGGGAATTGTAGGTAGTTCCATTAGGTATAATGGAATAATGGGAGAAGAAAGTTAGTTTGAAGCTATATATATGTAAGGGACTATGAGTGTCCCAGGCTAGGGAATTTCAATTTTGGTAGTATTGGGATGCTGTTGAAAATGTTTTAGTGAGGCAAGGACATAATGAAAGGAGAAGGATTAACAGTCTAGAAATTAGTTGAGTTTTAGAGACAAAGTCCAAAAAAATGAAATAAAGACAAAGTCCATGCAGAGAGTTGGGATGACTTGAACTAAGGAGCATTGAGAAAGCAATGAGAAAGGAAAGGCTGGGAGGTCATAAAAGGCATTTAAAGAGAAGTGAACACATACTATGGGATCATGAGAGGGAGTTTGAAATGGATAATAAAAATTGCTAAGCATCGTTGAGGATGTATTAGTAGTGAGCATGGATTTTGTAGTGATCCAATCAGCAGTTTTATGGAGCATTTGACAGCCTAGGAACAAATATGGGGAACATCTCCCTAGAATATAAACTGGCTAAGAGGAACTCCGTAGTGATCAAATAAATGAAGGATTTTAGAGTATTTCTTGGTATTCTCCCCACATTTCATTTAATCTGCTCAAACACTCATATTCTTTTCTCACACTGATAACATTAGATGGAAAAACTATAAGTTCATTAAAAGTATTTTATAAAAAACAAGATAAATTGGTGAGTGATATAAAGTTGGCGATGAGGGACAATGTCAGTTGTCCTTAAAACTAGCAGATGCCAGTATTTAATCAAAAGCAGCGTTTCAGTCAGACTTTCACAAGGAAAGTGTTTAAAGTACTAGTGTAAATGAACTAGTGTAAATTGACATTTAGTTCTCATAAAGCAAAAAAAGAAACGAAAACCTCCACAACAAATAACTAGTGGCTAACATTATTATGTGATAAGCACTATTCTAAGCCCTTTAGAAGTATTAACTAAATTCCCACAACAACCCTAAAATAGGTAGTACTATTATTATGTCCATCTTCCAGATGAAGAAACCAAGAGAATTTAATTTGCTCAAAGTCACAGCCAAGTGGCAAGGTAGAGAATTCAACCTATAGCAGTACAATTCCATAATCCACAGGTTTAACAACTACACCAGTGATTCTTATATTATGCTGCACATTGGGATCATCTGGGGAGATTTTAAAACCAAATGTGGATCCCGATCTCCCACCTAAAGCCATTTTTTTTTGAATACTTGGAGTTGGTTTCAGCCAGGGAAAGGTGTTTTGTTTGGTTTTTTTTTTTGCAGCTGGCCAGTATGGGGATCCAAACCCTTGGCCTTGGTGTTACAACACTGCATTCTAACCAGCAGAGCTAACCAGCCAGCCCAGGCATAGGTGTTTTTTAAAGCACCTCAAGTGATTCTCAGGGGCTGCCAGGGTTGAGAACTTCTGCACTTTACTGGACTGCTCTGTTCAGCATGTGATTTGTTTCTTCTTTAAGCAGAAAGACAATACCTTAAGGTATATAAAATAGTTTCTGCCCCTAAGACATTTAGTCAGGAGAAAGGAAATGTGGAAGAAAATGACAATATTTAAGTTTGGTACTATCTTGGAACTCAGAGAAGGAATGGATCTTTAACCTTGTGGTGAGCTGAACAAAAAGAGTAGCTGTTGCTTAAGCATGTGGTCTGGGCTAGGCTCAGTGCTAATTTGCATTCTCTTCTCTAAGCCTCAAATTAATCCTGAGAGTTAGGTATTCTCTCAGTTTGTGGAATGAGTAAATTGGCTCAGGGAGGTTAAAAACCTTGTCCAATGTCACACCACTAATCAGTAGTAGAAACAGCTTACAGACCAAGGTCTCACCAATGCCACATGCTCTCTTCTCCACCACTGCATTCTATCTGAAGGGAGCCAGGAGGGTGTGGGGCTCAAAGTGGGCCTTAAAAAGAGAGTCACCCATACCAGCCAGCCGCCAGGAAAAAAAAAAGATATAGTTGTAATGGTATTTCGGAGGCATAATGAGGAGTTTGGATATTTTTCAATGTCTTTTTTTTTAAACAGTGATATGCAAATACTTTTTCTGGAATGTCAAATTTTTGAAAACATTAGAAGAGAAAGAGGAATTTTTTGGAGCCTACTTAAAATCATCCAAATGAATAAGAGTACCTACAGAGTGTAGTCCAGAGGGGTTATAAAAGGATGAACCAGTATTAAAAACATGGAGGAACAATTGAATTTGATATCAATGACAGATAAATTATATAGTTTAAAAATAAAACGAAAGGGCTGGCCCTGTGGCTCACTCGGGAGAGTGTGGCGCTTGGTAGCGCCGAGGCCGCGGATTCAGATCCTATATAGGGATGGCCGGTGGTGCGGACCATACCAAGCCGAGGATTGCAATTCCCTTCCCGGTCACACAAAAAATAAATAAAATAAAATAAAAATAAACAAAAATAGCTTATTTTCCCCTCTAAAGGAGTGGACACAGACTCAGCAAGATCAGCCTGTTCCTGTGGTTAAGAGATGCAGTGGGAAAGAGAAAGGAAGGAGTGTTAGCAAAATGGTTATTGGTTTCTCACTTCTCTAGGTACACATTGATGGTGGAGAAGGAGGTGGGCATGTTCTAAAAGTAATGAACTGTTTCTCATCAAAAAACTAAGGGAACAGAATTTCTAGGTGCTGCAACAGTGGCTGAGACCTGAGCACACATCCTGTTGCCTCTGGTGACCTGTAGAGAGGTCCGTCACCTCCATTCCATCCTTTTTTTTTTTTTAAAGGATGACTGGTAAGGGGATCTTAACCCTTGACTTGGTGTTGTCAGCACCACGCTCACCCAGTGAGCAAACCAGCCATCCCTATATGGGATCCGAACCCGTGGCCTTGGTGTTATCAGCACCGCACTCTCCCGAGTGAGCCACAGGCCGGCCCACCCCCATTCCATCCTATAGGGCCAGCTGGAAGGGGCCAGACAAGAATTATACTGGAAGTCACCAGGAGTCTCTGACCCGAGTGAGGTATATGGGCTTATGAAGGGCAACAAGACAGAACATCTCAAGATAAATTGACTCACCAAGTATTTTAAAACTCCTAGCTAAAAAGTCAATTGGATATTTAACAAAGGGTTATTAGGATTAAGTGAGTTAGCATATACAAAATGCTCAGAACAGTGTCTGATGCATAGTAAAAGCTATGTTAGCATTGGCCATTATAATGATTTTTTTTTTTTGTCTTTTTCGTGACCAGTAAGGGGATCGCAACCCTTGGTGTGGTGTTGCCCACACCGCACTCAGCCAGTGATTGCACCGGCCATTTGACCAGTAAGGGGATCGCAACCCTTGGTGTGGTGTTGCCCACACCGCACTCAGCCAGTGATCGCACCGGCCATTCCTATATAGGATCCGAACCCGCAGCGGGAGCGCTGCTGCGCTCCCAGCGCCGCACTCTCCCAAGTGCGCCGCACTCTCCCAAGTGCGCCACAGGCTCGGCCCTATAATGATTATTAATTTCAAACATAGCATGGTGCCTACATTCAAACTGCTATAGAAAAGTTGTATAAACTAGCTTAAGCTACTTTAGGGACAGTGTGATGATAAGAGAGTCATAATGCTATTGATTAGGAAAGCCTTAGGTCACAGTAAAAGAAGATTTTCTCAGGGACTCAGACTAAGACACTTGAGAGTGGAGTAATAGGGAAGACCAAAAATGATACCCAAATCTTGAGCCTGAGTAACTAACTATGTATGATGCCACGTGCAAATAAAGAAGCTGGCTATAAGGGCAGATATTTTAAATTTGGGAAGAGGAGTTTTAAAGGAATAGATAGAAGTAAGATATTTTTAAAACACAGTTTTTGTGGGTTTTTTGAAAAATTTTTAACAAATCTATTGAGCAATAATTTGCACACCATAAAATTTACACATTTTGAGTGAATAATTTGATTATTTTTTAGTAGATTTACAGAGTTGTGCAACCATCACAATTTAATCTTAGAACATTTTCATCACCCTAAAACTTCACGTCCATTTTCAGTAATTCCAACACCAGCCCATTCTATTGGTTTTTGAAAATAATTATTTAAAGTAATTTTCCTTTTTCAGGATGGCATAGTAAATCCAACAATAAGAAAAGATTTGAAAACTGTACCGAAATTCTACTGTTGTCCAATTGAAGGATGCCCGCGAGGCCCTGACAGACCATTTTCTCAGTTTTCTCTCGTAAAACAGGTATTTTACTTGTCTTAGGTATACTTCTCTAAGGGTGTAATACAGACGGTATATACCTAGTGTGCATTCTAATTACTCAGCGAATGTAACTAGAAGTTGAGCAGAAAGCTCTTGTGAGAGCAGACGCCCAGCTATCTCCCAGGTGGTGAAAATGTGAATATGGGTGTAATGCAAGTGTAGTGAAACACGGCTTGTTCTGGAGGGAAAATGTCCAGAAGTGGGTTTGGAGAGAAGGAAAAGTAGACCAATTCAGCAAAGAAAGAGAAAATTTGTGCTTGTAGATCTCATGTGAATCTATACACCTCCAAAGGCAGAGGACAAAGGTACAAAGGAACTGTTCTCCCAGTGCAGTAAGAATCTGCAGAATCCAGAATAATTTTGGAATGAGCTGTCTCAAGGGGAGGGAGGGGCCCAGTGACTGGGGAAAAAGGAATTCAAGACCGGAAGAGATGGGATATGAAATGTTTCCCCGAGGGTCTGCTGGAGGGTGTCCTGAGAAAAGCATTGCAAAGATATTTTTTCTACCTGCAGCACTTATATGTAGATCAAAGTCTAAATGCTAGGTACCATGGATTGTTTCCAAAAGTCTGCTCACTTTTCACAAGGCAAAAGTGAAGAAGAGAAGAGGCATATGATAAACTGCAATTTGCCTATTTATAAATTCTTTCGGACTGCTGTATTTTGTACCTATAAAATCATTAATTTGGGTATGTTGATGGTTTTGAAATGTTTTCAGTAGTTGCTGTTTTTCATCTTGGTCCCTTCTGTGTTCTTCCTAGCACTTCATGAAAATGCATGCTGAGAAGAAGCATAAATGTAGTAAATGCAGCAATTCGTATGGTACGGAATGGGACTTGAAAAGACACGCAGAGGACTGTGGCAAGACCTTCCAGTGCACATGTGGCTGTCCCTATGCCAGTAGAACAGCATTACAGTCCCACATCTATCGAACTGGCCATGAGATCCCTGCAGAACACAGGTAGAAAGGAAAGAAAAGCTTGGACAAAAGTCAATGGCTATGAGAAGTTTCAGGTGAAACTTCTTGGAGATCCAGTAGTATAGGGAGAGAAAAGGAATCAAAGAGAAAATGTGTGACATGTAAGAAGGGAGCTTTTAGAAATGGCAGTAGTACTAGCAAAGGACCGATGTCTAGGTCTATAATCTTGACCTGATTGTTCCTCCTTTTTCTTTTGCCAACCCTCGGTTGAGGGACCCATATCATTCCCATTTGAAAACCTCAACTTTCAGCATTTTCTATTAGAGGTGTATCAGATTGCTGAAGAGTAAGTTTTATCATGAAACTATACTTCATTTTAAAGGTAAAATTTATATTTGGTATAACAGCTTCTTGCTTTAGAAATGATAAAACTTGCATTATATATATCTTTCAGATTTTTATGCTTAAAGGTCTAAACTGAGTTCTGGTACTTAGAGCTTAAAAAATAAGGTGTGCTTTCTCCTTCCCCTGATTGCATGTCTCTGAACGTCCACCTACCATAATAGGCCTAGTTCTCATGGTTGCAAAAGAAGGAATTTATCTTTTCTGGATTGATTCTGATCTCTGCTATATATGTGGGAAATAGCATTTATAAATAAGTGAAGATACAGTGTCATGGTCAAAGAAAGCTGCATTTTAAAATTGTTTTTCTTTTTGCTCTGTCATTGTCTTCAGGGATCCACCTAGTAAGAAAAGGAAAATGGAAAACTGCCTGCAAAACCAGAAGTTGTCCAATAAGACCACCGAATCATTGAGCAGCCAACCAACCCCTAGACCAGACACTCAAGAACTAGAAACTTCAGAAATAAAGCTAGTAGCTTCTTTTGAAGACTCTTGTGGCTCTAATGCCAGAAAGCAGACTCTTACAACACCTACGAGATATCCTCAGAAGCTGCTTTTACCAAAGCCCAAAGTGGCTTTGGTTAAACTACCAGTGATGCAGCTCTCTCCTGTGCCTGTCTTTGTGCCTACGGCTGACTCCTCAGCCCAACATGTGGTGTTTGGTGTTGATCAGGGCTCTGCCACGGGCACTGTGCACTTACTGCCCTTGTCGGTAGGAACCTTGATCCTTGGCCTAGATTCAGAGGCTTGCTCTCTTAAGGAGAGCTTACCTCTTTCAAAAATGATAAGTCCTGTTGCTGTTGAGCCAATTAGTACAGGAGTTCAAGCGAACTTGGGTAAAAGTCCATTTAATCCTTTACAAGAATTAGGGAACACATGTCAAAAGAATAGCATTTCTTCAATCAATATACAGACAGATCTGTCTTATGCCTCACAAAACTTTATACCTTCTGCACAGTGGGCTAGCCCTGATTCCTCTGTGTCATCTTGTTCTCAAACTGATTTGTCATTTGATTCTCAAGTGTCCCTTCCCATTAGTGTTCACACTCAGACATTTTTGCCCAGCTCTAAGGTAACTTCATCTATAGCTGCTCAGACTGATGGATTTATAGATGCTTGTTTCCAGTCCAGCGGGATCTCCAGAGAAACTCAAACCAGTGGGATACAAAGTATGACAGATGACCATGTACAGATGGACCAAGCTGGAATGTGTGGAGACATTTTTGAGAGTGTCCATTCATATAATGTTCCTACAGATAATATTATAAGCAACAGTTTAGTAGCAGACACAGTAACTCATGGTTTGTTACCTCAGAACGACCCTAAGACTTTAAATCAAGATATTGAGAAATCTGCGCCAATTATAAACTTCAGTGCACAGAATATGCTTCCTTCACAGAACATGACAGATAATCAGACCCAAACTATAGATTTATTAAGTGATTTAGAAAACATCTTATCAAGTAATCTGCCTGCTCAGACATTGGATAATCGGAGTCTTCTATCTGACACGAATCCTGGACCTGACACTCAGCTCCCATCTGGTCCACCTCAGAATCCTGGAATAGATTTTGATATTGAAGAGTTCTTTTCAGCCTCAAATATCCAGACTCAAACTGAAGAGAGTGAACTTGGCACCATGAACACTGAACCAGTCTTAGAATCACTGGACATAGAGACCCAAACTGACTTCTTACTTGCAGACACCTCTGCTCAGTCCTATGGGTGTAGGGGAAATTCTAACTTCTTAGGCCTTGAGATGTTTGACACGCAGACACAGACAGACTTAAACTTCTTTTTAGACAGTAGCCCTCATCTGCCTTTGGGAAGTATTCTGAAACACTCCAGCTTTTCCATGAGTACTGATTCATCTGACACAGAGACCCAAACCGAAGGAATCTCAACTGCTAAAAACATACCTGCTCTAGAAAGCAAAGTTCGGTTGAACAGTACAGAAACACAAACCATGAGTTCTGGGTTTGAAACCCTGGGGAGCTTGTTCTTCACCAGCAATGAAACTCAAACAGCAATGGATGACTTTCTTCTGGCTGATTTGGCCTGGAACACGATGGAGTCTCAGTTTAGTTCTGTAGAAACCCAGACATGTGCCGAACTATATGCAGTCTCCGATTTCTAAAAGCTGAGTCCACTTGTGGGATGGCATTTACCATTTCCTTATGGATTAGCAAATGGGGAATGGTACAACGGTATTAACTCTGTTGAATGTAGCTGATGACGCAGTCACTTAGATTCTTTGCGGTTCTTTGCCTTTTGTGCTTGTAAACATGAAATTTGTGTATAAATGTGAGTATTATAAAGTGTAAGATGTTGATCTAAAAGTGATTGCTTTGTGTTGCCCATATTGTCCTTTTACAGCTGGTCTTTCCATCTTTAAAAAAAATTTTCATACCTATAAAGCCTGTCTAGCCATTTAGCTGAAGCCAAGCTTACAGCTACTAAGACACAAACTTCTCAGATCTTCAGAACGTTTTAGTCATAGTGTAGCATACTTAAATTGCACCCAAAATATTTTTGACAGTGCTTGTTAGAAATTCATGTTTCTCGATAGAAATAAGAAAGGCAATGCTGCCACCATCAGATTTAAACAGTGCTTCCATGGTTTGAGACTTCTGCTGCTTTGACATCTTTTCTGATCTGAAGACACCAAGGAAAACTACAGCTGTCTAGCTTTGAGACAGTTTTCATATAGTCACGTCATCCCTTCTCTATATGAGCTATTATTAGTAATGTACTTTTCTCACAAGAAGTTTGTTGCTGTAAAATTGCTGCCTAGAGGGAAAGCATCAAGCACTTAGTGTATACAGTGATCCTTGTATGTCTAGCTTTGAGACAGTTTTCATATAGTCACGTCATCCCTTCTCTATATGAGCTATTATTGGTAATGTACTTTTCTCACAAGAGGTTTATTGCTGTAAAATTGCTGCCTAGAGGGAAAGCATCAAGCACTTAGTGTATACAGTGATCCTTGTAAAAAAGAGTGAGTCATCCAAACCACGGGAATACGGGGTTGTGGAATTGTGCTTATTAGTTCATCCTAGCATGTGCCCTATGAACATTCTTCCTGCTTTCCAGAATAAGTCAGATTGGGGCTCTGGAGCTGCTGCCAAAAGTGCACCCACAGGCTGGATCTGAGTTTTGTCACTATAAAAATGTGGGAAGAGAAAAGGACATTTCAATACTTTGCACTTCTAAGCTTCATTGAGCAAGAGTGCAACCTACAATTATTTTAAAGTGACTTTTCCTTCCATCCACCACTCATTTTTTTCTTGACTAAGGAAAGACATTGGTCTAGCAAGGAAATTGTTTGTGCCTTGAGGCTAGCAATTATAGAATAGATCCATCTAAAATATGATATTCTGTATATTGTTGCTTTACTTTTTAATGAGAATAATACCAAATAGTCATCTTCAAAGAAAACAAGGTGAAGACCTATTGCTTCAATAATCAAGAGCATTTTCTGTGAGATGGGAGCATGGTCAAGTATGCTATAGGGGTTTTCTATATCTAAGAGATCCTGAATTCTTACTTGCTGGCCAACTTTCAGGCAAGGAAGAAACAGTGCAGCCTGTACGTTGTCTAAGTTTACAAAAACAAAAAAGACCTGTTCTTTCTGTGGCATACTCTTATGCTGTGAAGGCAAATCTAAGGAGGGGACTACTGATTCATTAAATTGATGGTGTTGCTACTAATTCCTATCCCATACATCTGATACAAAAGCAGTTTGGTAATGGATAACATATCCTGGGCAGGTGAACTCAACCTAGTAGATAAAAGTTTGCTTTGGTCACAGTTGCCTATAAATATGTACTTCAAAACAAACATAAAGCCTTAATTTAAAATTTCATTATGTTTTAGAATCATCACTGCCTTAATGTTCAAACATTTATTTAAGTCCTCCCAATAAAGGAGAAATGCATGTTTGTAGTTTTTTGTAAATATAAACGCAGATCTATGGCTTTAAAAAACAAAAACAAACACTTGTTTCTGTGACTGATTGTTAATTTAGCCAATAGAGTTATGTACAGAAAAATGGAGCATGTAATGGTTCGTGTACAAGAACTGCCTCCCCACCAAACCTCAGCTACCTGGTTGTTCTAAGATTACTTGTAAAAACTGAAATTCTGTGATTAAAGAGAAACTAGAATTCTACCCTTTTTGTGTGAATTCAACCTACTCATGTGACTTATTTTGTTGCCTTTTCACAAAATTACTGTCTTCTGAAAGTCACATGAAATGACTGTGCCAAGGTGTTTTCATTTGTCTTTATTCATAAAAATATGCTAGTGATTTTCCTAGAAAAGATGCTCCAAGTGACATCAGCAAGATGGCTCACTAGAGGTGCCTAACACTTGTCCCTCCACAAAAAAGCACCAAAACATTGAATAAATAACTACACTGCAACTACAGTATCTGAAGGAGAGTGTTGGTGTGCAACAGACGAGTGGTGTATTGGTCTATTTTTGTGTTGCAAGAACAGAATACCTGAGACTTGGTAATTTATAAAGAACAGTGGTTTATTGGGCCTACAGATTCTGGGACAGCTGCATCTGATGCAAGTCTCTGGCTTCTACTCATGGCAGAAAGCGGTAGGCAGCTGGCAGCAAGCAGATCACACGTTAAGAGGAAGCACAAGAGAGGAGGTGCCAGGGTCTTGTAAACAACTAGCTCTCATGGGAACTAATAGAGCAAGAACTCACTCAGGCCCCACACCCCCAGGGAGAGCATTAATCCATTCATGAAGGATCTGCCCCCATGACTCAAAACGGCTCCCAATACTGCCACATTGAGAATCAGATTTCCACATGAGTTTTGACAGGGACAACACATCCAAACTATCAAGTAGCAAAAGAACCTGTGGAGCATAAAGACTCAGGGTGGCAGCAGAGAAAAAGGAGCAGAACACCCTGCCTCTGCCATCCTGTCTTCCCAGTCAGGATTAGCTCAGAAACAAACAGGGCCTTCTCCCTACAGAGAAAAGGTAAGCAAGAGGCCCCCAACAGCTTGCATTAACACCACAGACAGCTGCAGTCTTTGCTGCTGGAGAATCTTTAGTCCTCTCAGGCCCTGAGCCCAGTTTAGGGAGCTTCCTGGAGTTCACACAGTGTCATTACTCCAGAGGAGCCCATGTTGTGCCTCCACCCAATGACTCACGCTGTTGCTTGGCATCATCTTGAGAGTGGAGCCACTGCTAAAAGCATCCTGCTCCAGGGGACAGTAGCTACTGCACTATCCATCCCTGAGGCTCTGCCATCACTACACCATGCTCACTTGTGGTAGTGCACCATTCCCCAGCTGAGCTCTACAGTTCCCTAACCCCTGGGATCAAACTGCAAAGAAGACTCTCCATTTTCCCCATCCCAGAGGCTGCAGTGCCCCAAACCAAGCCACTTGGAGTCTAGGCCAAGCAGAAAAGCTGTGACCCTGGTACCCAAGCCTGTGTGGCATCCTGCCCACCAGAACAGGTAGTCTTGCTCAACAGGGAAGCCAAACCTGAGTTGGTGGACTGGCCTTGTATCCCCTCAGAGTGAGAACCAACATAGCACTTTGCCAACAGGAGCCGCCCTCGACCCAGTGAGCCAGTTGCACAAACTCCTGCAGACTACCCCACTGAGGCACTTGCAGTTATTGATGAAACTGATTACAGCTCAACAAACTGCACAGTGTCTACACTACTGTGCCCACCAGGAAATAAAGTCAACAAACCAAATGCAATCAATACCCTAGGATCCATCTCCAAGTGTAAGTATTTTCCTATGAAAGCCACTCTGTAAAACTCAAAAAGGCAACTATCCTACCAGATGTGTGGAAATCTATGCAGGGACACAAGAAACATGAAAAAGTAAGAAAGAGCGCTATCAAAGAAACACAATGCCTCAGTAACTGACCCCAAAATAAATGGAAATTTAGAAATTTCCTGAAAAGGAATTCAAAATAATGATCTTTAAAAAACTTAGCAAGCAAACAAAAACAGAAAAAAAAACCCAAAACAGTGAGATATAATACAGATAGACAAGTCAATGTAATCAGGAAAATAACTCATGATCTCAATCAGAAATTCAACAGAGATAGATACCAAAAAATGAACTACAGAGATCTTTGGGGCTGAAGAATTCAGTAAATGAAATGAAAAATACAACTGAGAGCTTCAAAAGCAGAGAAAAATCAAGCAGAATAAAGAATCCCTGAGCTTGAAGACAAGTGTTTTTGCAATAATACAGTGGGGGGTGGGGGGTGGAGGGGGTGGGGAGTGACAAAAGTATACAGTACTTATGGGACACCATTAAGTAACAAATACTCGCATTACAGAAGTTTCAAAGGGAGAAGAGATGTAGAAAGGCACAGAAAGCTTACTTAACAAAATAATAGCTGAAAACTTCCTGAGTATTGGGAGAGATGGATATTGAGATCCAGAATGCTCAAAGGATTACAAATAGATTCAACCCAAAGAGGTCCTCTCTGAGGCACATTATAATCAAACTGTCAAAAGTCACAGTAAAACAAAAGTTTCAAGTCACGTTTAAAAGAATTCCCACTTGACTATCAGCTGATGTCTCAGTACAAACCTTGCAGGGCAGGAGAGAACTGGGCTGATATATTCAAAATGCTGAAAGGAAAAAAAATTGCCAACCAAGAATACTATACCCAAGCAAAGCTATTCTTCAGAAATAAAGGTGAAATGAAGTTTTTCCCAGACAAGCAAAAACAGAGGCAGTTCATCATACTAGACTAGCTTTACAAAAAATGCTTAAGGTAGTGCTTCAGCTAGAAATGAATAAGATGTAAATTCAGACAATAAAATTACAAATGGTGGCAGGGGCAGCAAACATCTAGAATATTTGCATGTGACCAAAGTTAAGTTATCAGCTTTAAAAAGTCTGTAATAACTATATATGTAAGTCCCATAGTAACCACAAAGAGAAAAATTATAGCAAGTACGAATGAGAAAGAGAAATGTATCAAAGCTTAGCACTAGAGAAAACCACCAAAACATAAGCAACAAAAGAGGAAGAAACAAAGGACCTGTAGGAAAACCATAAAACAATTTATAAAATGGCCAAAGTAAGTTACTTTACCTACCAATAACAACCTTGAATGTAAATGGATTAAATTACCCAATTAAAAAATATATAATGGCTGAGTGGGTTAAAAACCAATACTCAATTATATGCTGCCTTTGAGAGACTAATGTCACCTGTAAAGACACACACAGACTTAAGTGAAGGGATAAAAAAAGATATTACATGCAAATGGAAATCAAAAGAGAACAGCAAAGCAATACTTACATCAGATAAAGTAGAATTTAAGTCAATAAGTGTAAAAAGAGACAAAGAAGGTCATCATATAATGATAAAAAGGCCAATTCAGCAAGAGGATAAAACATTTAAGATATATATGCACCCAACACTGGCACATACAAATACATAACACAAATATTATTAGATCTAAGGGAGAGATAAAGTGCAATACAATAATAGTAGGGAACCTTCAAAAATGAACAGATCATCCAGACAGAAAAGCAACAAAGAAACATTGGATTTAAAATGCACTATAGACCAAATGGATATAACAGATATTTACGGAGTATTTCACCCAACAGCTACAGAATACACATTTTTCTCAACAGCACATGGAACATTCTTCAGGATAGATCACATGTTAGGCCACAAAACAAGTATTAAAAATTTAAGAACAAAGTCACTTCAAGTATCTTTTCTGACCACAGTTGTATAAAACTAGAAATTAATAACAAGACGAACTTCAGAAACCTTACAAATACATGGAAATTAAACAATATGCTCTCTAAAGTCACTTCAAGTATCTTTTCTGACCACAGTTGTATAAAACTAGAAATTAATAACAAGAGGAACTTCAGAAACCTTACAAATACATGGAAATTAAACAATATGCTCTCGAACAACCAATGGGCTAATGAAGAAATTAAAAGGGAAATTAAAAATTTTCTTGAGGGCTGGCTGGTTAGGTCACTCGGGAGAGTGTGGTACTGATAATACCAAGGTCAAGTGTTCAGATCCCTATACCAGTCAGCCACAAAAATAAATAAAATAAAATTGAGACAGGTGGCAGGTCAAGCAAGATGGCTGACTAGAAGACCCTAGCACTCATCTCTCTCACAAAGACAGAATAATGAATAAACAAGTACTTGATGAAGATAACTAAAGGAGAGTGCCAGAATACATCAAAGAGTCACAGAAACCCTGGCGAGCACGGAAAGTCAGGATAGCCACATAGAGAATAGAAGGAAACACCTGGTCTCCATCACTCCATCCCCCAACTGAGATCAGCTGGGAACCAGGAAGAACTTCTCCCTGAAGGGAAAAGGTGAGAGGACCCCAGCAGCCCCCATCAATACCTTGGACACTTATGGTTCTCACCACTGTGGACCCCTGTAGTCCTCACAGGCACTAAGCCCAGCAAACAGAGCTACCTGGAGTCCACACAGCTGTACTCTCCCTGGAGAAGGAGCTGACATTATTGCCAGCCTATGTGGCCCATAAGGCTACTGCACTATGCTATATTGCAACTGGAACTACTGCTGGAGGGTGTCTTGCTCCAAGGGCTAATGGCCACAGCACCCTTTCATTCCAGAGGCTGAGCTGCCACAAACCACCTCCCATGGTGACCCAACATGCTCAAGCCAAGCTGTGAGTAGCTGTTACATCCTATCCCTGGGGGCTAAGCTGCAGTGGAGCTTCTCCACCTACCTCTCCCAGTCACAGCTGTGCCCTGACCCACAGGGCTCAAGTTCAAGCTGCACTCCACCATTCTGGGGTAGGTTCTTGCTGCCAATGCAACTGGCCTCACAGAATCTGACATATTACCTAGTCATAACAACCCAGGGTCTAGAGTCACTACTACATGGTGTCTCATTCCCTGGGTCCCAAGTGAGCCCTATTGGCTCTGGTTTCCAAATTGCTGCTGTACCCTGCTCTCTGGTCCAAACCTCCAGAGGTTCTCTTCCCTCCCAGAGATGGGCCAGTGCTGTGTCCTGCTCCCTGGCCCAAATTTCCAGAGCACCCCTTCCCTCCCAGAGGTGGGCCAAAGCAGTGTCCTGCCCCCCAGGATCACAGTCACAGCAACAACTGGGTCCACCTAGCCTAAACTGTGTACTGCAGAGTCACAGATTT